GCAGGATGTTTTTTCCTTTATTTTATCAATAACTCCAAGTTTGTCCTTGAAATGATGGGACATTTGCCCCGACTTCCATAGGAACAAGCAAGCTGAGGAGTGGGCAGCAGTGAGGCCTTGTCTTTGGTAGTGTCTGTTCTCATGTCTGATTCTGAATTTTCAGTGAACTATCTGTAAAAGCCCAAATCAAACCTTTATGTGTAGAAACCATTAAACACCAGGGAACTTGTAATCACAATGCACGTTTGGCAGAGCTGACTTCTCAATATCCTCTCTATCAGAGGAACCACTTGTATTATTAACTTTTCTTAATGCCATCTACCCTTTGAGGTTTAAAGCTGAACTAATTAAATATATAACTGGTGCATAATTGTGCGTGTAGGTGTAGAAATAATAATCTATAGAATTAACATACTATGCACTACATTACTGTGTTCCCCTCAGAGGTTTAGTAGAGGGATTTTGCCATCAGGAGTTCTTGTTGTCCCCCTCAATTATCTGTCTATTAAAAAGAAATCTGTGTTTTTGATGGCCAGGATTTCTTTGCTTCAGTTGTGATTTCTGTGTTTATAGACTTCTAAAATTTTCTGTTAAATAGGGGGTAGGTACTGGCACTTGCCCAGTTATGTTTGAAAATCAGTCTACCAAAACACCTCTGCTGGAGTGTTTGAATCCATATATGATTGCTAAAAAAGCAGCTTGGCCCTTTTTTTTTTTTGCCCTAAATTGCAAATGCGTGTTTGAAGAAGTAGCAGCTGAAATGCAAGCTTGTTTTTTATTTGTGTAACCACCGAGATGCAAATATGGACATTTGTGTTTCCTCGATGCTCTGTTGATGCCAGTAACCCTGGGAGCAGTTCGTGGAGAGGAGGCTCCTGCCCCAGTGCAGGTCGTGTCCGGGCTCCTGTCCGGGAGCTGCAGCGCACGGGCTGTGGCAGGTGTGAACAGCTCGAGTCGCAGCAGGGCAAGAAGAGGAGCTTGTCCCAAAGGAAAATATTTATTTTGAACGTAATGTTCTTTTTTGTTCTGACAGACGCAGTAAGTACAGTAAGGCTAAGCAGGAGGCCGACGAGGAGAAACACTTGAACCAAGGTAAAGGGCAGCGGGGCCGAGGGGTTCTGAGTTGGTTCACAAAACATGTCCAACATTCTGATGCTTAGGAAATAAGGAATGACATTCCTCTTGAGATAACTAGATTCATTTTCCTTGTTGTAGCCATTCATATACAAAAAGTATGCATTTCCTTAACAGGGATACTAGAAGTGCCTGTATAAAATATATTTGGGAGGAAAGACAGGAAGAATGTTCATCTATTTGTTTCCTTTGCTCCTTTCCACTAGCAGACTCCTCCTCTTGGCTAGTGATATCTAAGCATGATTATTTTGCCACAATTCTCTGCTAAGGAGTATTTCCATCTTTCTGGATGGAGCAGAGGCAGTGCTGCAGAAAAGGAAGTGTAAACTTTGCTGCCTTTTTTTCAGGATCGAATCCTACTGTCACCCAGGTGCCAAGTTTAGGATGTGAAGAATTTCTTTGCTCTCAAAAGGGCAATTTCACAGCTTTTTCTTTCATGAGTCCCTAGTCCAGCCATTGGCCCATTAGTGATGGTGGTGGTTGATGAAGCTCATTTATTGGCAAAAGCCTGATTTTTTTTCCTGTCAGTACTGGGAAATATTAAATATTTACATTAAAAAGTTCCATTGGAGAAAAATACATTAAGTCCTTCCTTCTTCATCAGTCATTCCTGGCTTACAGTACTTCTTTATTGTGCACTCTCTTTGGTGTTGTATATCATTAAGGCTTCAGTCTCATATGTTCTGTGTTCAGCAGCATGTAGATCAGTGACTTCAAATAAAACATTTCTGCCTTGCAGGTGTTAGAACATATGTGGATCCTTTTACATATGAGGATCCAAACCAAGCTGTGAGGGAATTTGCCAAGGAAATCGATGCCTCCTGCATAAAGATTGAAAAAGTTATTGGTGTGGGTAAGTGCCAAAACTTTTGTATTTTTTGCAGTAAATGGAGTTTTAAATTGGCTTTTTGGAGAGCATTTTTTGGCATTCAGTTGTCTTTGTATGATGATTCCCCAAAATGAACTGACAGTTACAGTTTGACAGCACCAAGTGTATGCTTCAGACTCATGACCAATGGATTCTTGTGCCTTTTTCCTGAAGGGGAATTTGGTGAAGTTTGTAGTGGACGTCTCAAAGTACCAGGAAAAAGAGAGATCTGCGTTGCTATCAAGACTCTAAAAGCTGGTTACACCGATAAACAAAGAAGAGACTTTCTGAGTGAGGCCAGCATCATGGGACAGTTTGACCACCCCAATATCATCCACTTGGAAGGTGTAGTCACTAAATGTAAGTAGGTCATTTTCATGACAAGGCCAATTTGGAAGTCACTGAGAAATTAAATCTGTGGAGTTTTTTTTTTTTTTCCTTCTTACCCTCTCTCCTGTGAAATGACAGATGGAACAGATCCACTGATAGCTAATAGGAGGAAATCAGTGCAGGACAAGTCATTAATCTTGTTGTCAGCTATAAATGGGTTTATGGTTTCAACTGATACTCTATCTGCAGGCAGCTTGTACGAGATTTTGTAGGAGGAATTAAATACTGCAGGGGTCGGGGCTTTTCTTTCCGTCTTGCTATGCCAAGCCGGCATCTTTCGCATCTTTGTGAAACTGAGCTGATTGTTACAGGAGAGGCGAAAGCAGATGGTGAGACAAGAATTTAGAATGATTGCAGGAAAAATACCAAAACAAAACTACAGTGTTGTATGTTTGAGGTAGAAAGCACAGAGGTAAAGAGGGCTTTGAACTGAAGTAAGTTTGTTTTAGCGAGAAACATGCTTGTTTGTTGACTTTGATTTACAGGTGTGATAACTTCTCTCTATTTTTGCAGAAGTTACGTGGCTGATCCTTCTGTTTGGCTGGTTATTTTTTAGTGCTGTTGGAGGCTGTTTGCAGGCAGGAGCTGTTGTGAGGAGGAGAGCGCCGGGGCTCGCAGCGAGGCGGCAGCTCGTGCGTCCCCGCGAGCTCGGGGCGCCCGGCCTCGCCACGCGCCTCCTGAGCCGGGAGGTCCTGCCGGGCTCGGGGGCAGCAAGGACACGAGCGAGGGAGCCCGGACACGAGCGAGGGAGCCCGCGAGTCCCTGCCGGAGGGAGGGATTTGTGGAGCTTGCCTCCCGCCGCTGGGAGAGCGTGAGGCCGAGCAGGAGCTCGGCACGTGAACAGGGCAAGGAATGAAAAATAGCTGGGAAGAACCTATAAAGGACAACTAGCAGAACATAAAGTATCTCCAGCAGAGATACTTTTATTTAATACAAAAACGAGAGTCTCTCCTTGGGTCACTGTGTTTGCCATAGACGGTGATTCTTGTAGCACATCTGTGAAAGAAAGAGGCAGAACAGGCTCTTAGTGTTGAAATCCCACTGGGGCTCTCAACCCCATAGCAGTTACAGCTCTGGCAGTTATAAATGACTGTAGGCATTTGCATAATGCAGTTGTCACTGAATTAAAATGATTGGGAATTTTCAGCGAGGAGGTGGTCGCCTGACCCAAGCACCTCGTTGCCTGGCTCGCAGCGAGCAGGGTTTCTGCTGCAGGCAGCCTGGTTGCCTCAGGGCTGGTGTGTTTGGTAAACAGGGCTACTTAAGAAGACATTCATCTCAATTTCTCCATAGGTTTCTGAATGCTGTGATAAATGAGTGCATTTAATAAACTGAAAATTAAAATGTGAGATAAATAGTGGAGTAGGTGGGGGTTGAAGGAAGCGAGGCAGCAGAGAACCATGAATATGTTATTGGCTGCTAGTCAAGTACTTTAATAATTGACTCACTGATGGTAACTTCTCCTCTCCTTCCCCCTCCCCAGCTCAAGAAGTGCCTGAGTAATGACATTATGTGTTAATGCACTGAAAGAGTCTCCCTTTCCTCCTTTCTACGTTGACATAGTGTCTTTTGATTGAGGAAGGTTAATTAAAACTCATTTAGGTGTATTTGTTCTGTGGAAGGCTTCTGGTCACAGTTGCAAGGATAAATGAGATGGTGAAATATGCAGATTGGGCTGGAGTTCTTTGTGTTCGTGTTGAAGAACGTTTGCCGAGGTGAACTAGGGAGAGGCTGGTGTTTTATCACATCTCTTCCCTTGCGGATGCAAATGCCCAGCCAAGGTCACCAAACCCACATGCCACAGTCTGCTTTAAGCAACACCATCCCTTGCTGCTTTGTTCACACACGTCGTAAAGGGCCCAGCTGCTGGGCTGGCATTTCATAGGTCTGCAGGTCTGCATGCAGCCAAAGCAGTAGGAGTTCTGTCAGCTGGGAAGGGCAGGAGAGTGAGGAATGGGAAAAAGCCAACAAATGCTGGATTGGGACTGACCAGGGAAACGAATAATGATGAGTGAAATAAGTAATGCATTTTATATATATTTATGTGTCCTCAGTGACACAACATGAAATTTTCAGTATAGCTGGTTCTTGTAGAGTATTGTTTTTTAATCAAGAAAAGGGTTAGTTCAGAACAGAAATCTAACAAGAGAAGGAACTTGGTGAAAAATGCACTGAAGTAGAAATGATTATGGGAGCTTCTCGGGGCTGCAGCATCCACAGCAGAGCAGTTTCCATAGCTGCTTGTTCTGGAGCAGCTACTTCCTGGTGAAAGAAGCGAGGAAAAGCCGTGTCCTTCCAAGGGGGTGATTCTGCCTCGGTATCGACGGTGCCCGCGGGCTGGGGGACGTCTCCCCGAACCCTCCTTCCCTGGTAACAGGCCCTTACTCAGAGCTGCTTCGGGCAGTTAAGTACACAAGTGCAGTTTCTTTGGGACATTCTCTCTAAGAGACATTCTCTCTTCTCTGGGACATTCCCAGAAACTGCTGTAGTTCCTTGGCTAACACCAAGCTCTAGGAAGCGACGGGCTTAGGATGAGTTTCCATCCCAGGCTGGTGCTCGCCCGCATGTGCTCCCCTGGCTTGAGGTGGGCTAACAGCGAGGATCTCGGGAGCAGCCTTTGCCATTTCACAAGTCACTTCCCCACATCTGCCGCTGCTGTCTGTTAAAATGGAGACGACATTAGACTGATTGCTGCAAATACCAGGTGTTGAAAATCAAACGTAATTAAGCACTGGAAATAATTAGTGTTACTTGTACATACGCAAATGTTTTCAAATTCAGGGTCGTGTGACTTTGTAAAGTACTTGAAGGTAACATCAAGTGTTATTTATACATTTGCTATTATTTTTAGACAGAAAAGTGCCTAGAAAGCGTCCCTGTACCAGTAACAGCAGATTTCTCTCCAGCTTGCCCAGGCTGGGTTCCGCCTTGTGCCGTGGGAAGCTGAGTGCTGCTGAAGCATTACCCCAACGTGTGACACATCTCAGTGAATCATTTGTCCTGTGGGTGACTTCATGAGGCAAATGGCTTTGGCTCATTTATAAATAATGAGAGGCACAGGATACAGATTCAAGATGGAGAAAGTTGAGAGGAACAGGGTATATTTTTTGCATTTCTGATTGTAGTTGTCTTTTAGTACCCTGTAGCTGCAAACAGTCTTCCAGCTCCCCTAAACTGATGTCTCAAAAGACAGAAAGGACCGAAGCATTCATTAATCCCATTTTGGAAAGGAAAGCTATACTGTCTGCAAACAATTTAATTGCAAGGAAGATTTCTGTCAAGCTTGAACAGATCTTTTCTTCTTAGATGGCAGTGATCAGTTCATACATTCCCTAGACAGCAGGAGCTGCTTCAACTAGAGGCTTTGCCAACAAGTCACGCAAAGGGTTAACCTTCCAGATGGGCCCTTTAAACATTCTTGGCCTGTAATATTCTTCTCTCGCTCCCCCCAGCTGAGGCATAAGCTTGGTGCATTTCAAATTAAATTAGATTGTGTAAGACAGGTGTCTTGGCAGTAAAATCATGTGCAACCCATTTTTATCCCATTAACATCAGTGTTCATCACAGATTTGTGTTTTTCTTTCTGTGAACTCTAGGTAAACCGGTAATGATCATAACCGAGTACATGGAGAATGGCTCCTTGGATGCCTTCCTCAGGGTAGGTGACTGCTTCCTAATAAGCTAAGGGGATTTTATACTGGGAAACATTTTCTGGTTTCTTATAATGCTTCTGTTTTGCAGAGGGATATTGAAAATACAGCATTTAAAAAGACGTTATGTTTATACTTCATAGATTCTGTTTTCTTTTCTGGATTTGTTCCTATAAAGAAACAAAATAAATGTAAAGTAGAATGATATATATTTATATAAAAATGTAATGTTTAAAATACCAGGCTCTTAAATAATCCATGTTTAAAAGGGAACAATTTTGATTTGCTCCATTTTCTGAAAGCATCACCCTTCTGCATTCTGTTTAAAACTGGTTACATCACATACATCACAGGAAGCTGTAACAAAACTTCGGGGTTTGTGCTTTACTGGTGAATTACAGACACTAGTTAGGGGGCGAGGAAATAAGGCTGCATTTTCTTTCAGACAAGATGGGGGTCTGGAGATGTGCTCCCTGCCAATTTCAGCAGTGGCAATAATGTAGCTTTTAGTATAATGCTCTGTGATTTTCCTCCTTTCCTCGTATGCAGAAGAATGATGGCAGATTTACAGTAATCCAGCTGGTGGGGATGCTTCGTGGCATTGGCTCGGGGATGAAGTACCTGTCTGACATGAGCTACGTGCACCGGGACCTCGCGGCGCGAAACATCCTGGTCAACAGCAACCTGGTCTGCAAGGTGTCCGACTTCGGCATGTCCCGCGTCCTGGAAGACGATCCCGAAGCAGCTTACACCACGCGGGTAAGGAAGGAAGGAAGGAAGGAAAACATCCTGTCCGTCGTCTGGCCTGTTTCTGTCTGACGGTGTGGGAGGTGATGTGGTTTGTTTTGAAGTAATCTCAGGCATAAGTTAAAACCTGTATCACAGCATAAGAGTAAACACTGTACCCGGCTCCATCGCGCGTGTAGATTGACGTGATGATATTGCTATATCAGTGGCTACATCAGTGTTTCTGCTCTGTGATACGACCCGTGGTTCTCGTACTGTGCTAGGAGTGCCTGGCAGGAATCTCACACCAGGATTAGAGCCTGGGTTTCTATTCCTTCTGACTTTAGAGAGGTACATAATTATTTGTAAGAGATAAGTCCCACTGAAGGTTGAGACAAGAAGTCTGGATTTGTCACAAACATACATGCAAAAAAAGCAAAAAACACACTTTTGCCCATCCCAAAGATCTTCATAAATTGACCCAAATTATGGGAGCTGGGAAAAGTAAAGCCCGCATTCCCAAGATTGGTTGTGGTAAATGCTTTTGCCTCACTTTTCTTGTTTTGTTTTGTTTTGTTTCCCTCCCATTTTTCTATATATCAGTTTCCCACTGTTACTAACTTTGCTAAGCCATTTTAGTATGCTGCTCATGAAATAATACTAATGCAAGTACTTCTTCCCACAAAACAACGTCCCAGCCATTACTAGCCTTTGTACCAATACCTCGGTAATTAACGTGTGCCTGAAAAAAAAAGTCAGAGTTTATAAAGTCTCTTTTTTAATTGCTTATTTTCTTTGTTTTTAAATATCTGCCATTCTCCATCTGTTCTCCCTAGCGCAGAGTTTGTTTGCAGTGCTCCGTTTTTTGCAGTTTAATCCCCATACTCATCCTTTAATGGATTCACAGTTCATTACAGGAAAGAATAGACTCATGTACTATTAAACACTGGCCAGCCCTGGTATTTCTCACTCATAGGGGCAGCAAGTGGAAGAGGCAGCAGCAGCAGCAGAGCTCTGGGAAGCTGCATTGAGGGAAATCAAACTTATACAAATGCACAAGGGCAAGACACAAATGACTGAAAAGTCCCCCTTTGAATTTTGTGAGTGCAGATAGTGTTATGTTTTCTCTCAAAAGTGAACTACAGGGAATCAGTGCAATTTGTATTACAGAGCATTGTCTTCGTTTGGTATCAGTAATGAAGAATCAGGAAAATTTGGATGAACTCCACTGTACTCAAACAGCTAAATAAAAAGAGCTTATTGACAAATTTTTAAATGACAACCATATGGATGCAATGCATCTGTGTCCCTGCATCTGCGCTTGGAAGGAGGGATCAAGTTTTTCACAACCAGAGATGATACAGTAAAATGCAATTTTAAAGGATCCTGCTTTAGGAGGGTGGTGCTTTCTGTTCCCTGTTAATGCTGGGACTCGTTGAAGTGCACGCGTGCTGTGGCCGCAAAAGAGGCACATGCAGCCACAAATTGATTTGCAAAGGACCTGATTCAAAGGCCAAAGAAGCCAGTAGAAGACCCCTTTTGATTTCAATGGGCTTTGGAACAGGTCCATCATAAACACTGGAGAAATATATGAGGACAATAAACTATTAAGTATACACATGCTGCACTCAGTTATGGATAAAAGTATCTACAGGACTGCTGAGAAAAAAAACTACCAAAATAAACTTAATCAGAAAAGCATAAAAGCAAATGAAAAAAAAACATGCTGAAAGCTTTGTTCAGCTTAAGTCATTCCCCAGATGTAACTGCAGGAAAGCAAAAGCTCAATTAAAAACACCTTGTATATTAGCATAAACAAAAGGAGAAATCTCTGGCCTGGGATCACTCAGCTAAGGCAAAATCAGATAAACAGGATGGAGAGAGTCCCTCTTAAAGCAGAGCAGAACCCCCAGTGGCCCAGATCAGATGCCCCAAGTGTTTTATTTGTTTAAATAAGAGTAACAAGAGGCAGCTCTGCAAGTGCTGCCCAGGCTGCCCTGTGCCGTGGTCCAGCGTGAAGCTCCATGGGCTGGGAGAGCCCAGGGCCTCGCTCGCCTTCTCGCAGCCCTTGTAGGATTTGGGATGCTGCCCATGGGAAACACCGCAGTGTTCAGACTTCTTCCCAGTTCATCCTGTCTCTGTTTCACCCTTTTGAAAAACAAAATGTTTATAAACCCACTTTTCTGGAACAGGGCAAACAGGTTGGGCAGGCAAGCAAGGAAATAGTAATTAACAGCATGTACTTATTTGTTTTGTCAACTAAATCTCTAGCAGGCACTTTGTAAAAGCTCTGGCCCTTTCTCATCCTTCTGCATTGCCCTAAGCAGAGATGTCTAAGCGGGATGATGAAAAAACAATTTACAATTTACTGGTTGGCCTCCCTGTGACTGAAGAAAACAGATGGGCAGCCTTGCCTCCTGGTTGGGCCTGGCGCTGTCATGGCAAGAGAAGGAGCAAGCGGAGGCCCGTCCGGGAGCGGTGCGGAGCGGCTGCCGGCGACGCGCTGCCTCGGTGGCGGGTGGCGCTGGGCCGCTCTGCCCTGCGCCCGCGCCCGCCCCAACGGCTCTTCCCTTGTGCCAGGGCGGCAAGATCCCCATCCGGTGGACGGCTCCGGAGGCCATCGCCTACCGCAAGTTCACGTCGGCCAGCGACGTGTGGAGCTACGGCATCGTCATGTGGGAAGTGATGTCCTACGGGGAGAGGCCCTACTGGGACATGTCCAACCAAGACGTAAGGCTCATCCCGAGGCTTCTGCCTCCTTCCTGCTCTCCCCTCCCCTTGGTTTTTCTTCTTTCGATGTCGTGCTGGTGTTTTCCTGTGTCGGTCGCCATGTGACTATCATGCATTTCTCCCGTTTTCTTAAAAAGGTTACCATAATTCCTGTTTTCCCAGTGAACTTCTCCAGAATAAAGGCTTCCATGAATACCTCAAGGCTCATGTATGGCCAAGGGAGGCAGATTCTCAAGTTAGCATTTAGAGCTAATGCATCTATCATCTCACTCTCTCTCTTTTTTTTTTTCCCAGACCTCTTTGCTCTTTTTGCTGTCTCCTTTTTTTCTTTTCTCTTTTCTTTTTCTCTTCTCTTTTTTCCCTTCTCTTTTTCTTCTTTTTTTCCTCTCTTCTCTTTGAAAGTGAAGTTATAAGTGGTTAAAGTAAGAAAAGTGAAGATTAGAGCAAAAAGAAATGAATGTATTCAAGCTGTTGGATCATAGTGCTGAAAGAGGAGAAATGTGAATATTGATATTAAATCTCAGTGTTATTGAAAGTCATTAAGAAAGAAAAAACACTTTAATGAGGCTTCTTATTAGTAGTTAATTCCTCAAAACCCAGTGTGCTCGTAATTCTTCCAAATGATTTCATTTCTTTCAGGATATCTAAGGCAACACATATGAAATCCAATCCTGGTTATCAGTTAGAGTATCCCCACAACAATCACAGAGCTGCCCCCCGAGGACATTAAAAAGCAGCTTTGCTAAATGACCATCCTTAAATTATGCATGTCCTGTTTAACTGTACCATCTGGACTACTTCAGTGTATTCCAAGAGGGAACATACACAATGACTGCTATTTCTGAAGAGTATTTAATAATAATGCTAATAAGGGCTTTTCGAATAGATTTTTTATTAAATTAAAAAAAAATCCAGTGAAAATGAGACATAGATTATCCGTAATTCTTTTCCCAGGGGATTTATAAGCATAAGGAAGAAGAAAATGTTAATCTGAATATATGGTCCTGGGAGTGGTTAAGTCATTTTGCAAGTCATCTGCTTTCTTAGGTAGAACCAAATATAAAAGAGTGTCTAGATGTGGATGGCATTTAATCTCAACAGAGGATTTGATCCGAATTCCCTTCGGATGCGAAACGTCTCTCCTGGCACTCGGTCAGCGTTGCCTTGCTCTGCTGGCAGGAGGTCCTGGAGGCTGAGCCCGCACAGCCAACCCAGCGCGTTGCCGCGTCCCGTCGCGAAGCCGCTGCGGGGGCTCTCGACGCCCCGCGGCCTTCCCCCTTGCCTGTGGGGAGAGCAGCGCTTCCCCCTTGCCTGTGGGGAGAGCAGCGCTTCCCCCTTGCCTGTGGGGAGAGCAGCGCTTCCCCCTTGCCTGTGGGGAGAGCAGCGCTTCCCAGCCTTTTCCTTGTCGAGGCTGCACAGATGGCTGCTTATCTCGGCATTTCCTAGTTCAGGGCATGCGGTGCGGAGGGAAGAGGCTCTGTACGAGGCCTGTGCTGCTGCCGGGATGAGCTAGACCAGGAGGAGAGGAAGCAGGGATCATCTGCTGCCTTTTGGAACTGATGGGGAAAACTTGGGCTTCCACGTGCTGCACCCAGAGCTGCCAGATATTAACAGATTTGCTGTCCAGCTGTTGCTTCCACAACCCTCTCCCCACCAAGGGCAGCTGCTTAATTCTAAAAAGGCTCTTCTGCCTTCCCCTTATGCCATTGGATCCCTGCTGAATCCAATGGCTGCTTTGGGTGCTGTACCTAATATTCGTCTTTTCTGTATTAATTGCTGTTCCCTAGGTTGAGGTGTGTACAGTGCTCTTAAACTCACAAATATACTTCAGTCCTCACAAGCAGCTCCTAATATTTGCTTCCCTACTCGCCTTAGCCCGTTTAGTTTTTGAATTACCAAGGGGAAATGACAGCACCGAGACCACCAGCTGCTCGAGGCCGAGTGCAATTTCCCATGTTGTTTCACTTAGCTGTGGATTTGTTTCCATGCTTAGGATCACCCTAAGATAAATGATACTCAGCTGGTAGATGTGAGTAGCATCTGCTGCTCTCTAATGTCTTCCTAACTGCGCCATGTCCAGGTGATCAAGGCCATCGAGGAAGGGTATCGCCTGCCGCCCCCGATGGACTGCCCCATTGCTCTCCACCAGCTGATGCTGGATTGCTGGCAGAAGGAGCGCAGCGACAGGCCGAAATTTGGGCAGATCGTCAACATGCTGGACAAGCTCATCCGCAACCCCAACAGCCTGAAGAGGACGGGCAGCGAGAGCTCCAGGTCTGGGACGGGGACACGCACGGGGCTCCCCGCGAGGGTCCCCGCGCGCCGTAGCGAGCAGTAACCATGTGGTTTTCTGCAGGAAAAGTACATCATCGGGTTTTATAAACCTGGATTTGTGTCGGATTTGCAAATGAGCATTACGGCATTACTGCCAGTGCCTTGAGGGCATTGGGGAGGCGGGGATTAATTTTTATGTGAATTTGAATTTAATTTTGGGGAAAGCCGGTTTCATGTCTCCACTGATCCCGTGTTACGTTTTTGTTTTGTTTGCTACGGCAAATCTGGTACGTGCGAAAGGAGCATGATAGGAAGGAAACTCCCAGTGTTGTAGGAAAAAAAAAAATCTTTATTTTGGGGCAGACCAGCAGTTGGTTTATGCCAGTGAAATACTGCTCAAGTAATGGGAGCTTCACTAATTCACACCAGCTGTGCTCTATTATTTTCAAATATTTTTGCTTTGTAAGGTGATTTTGTTTACAGCAAATCAGGAAAAAAAAATCTTAGAAGGAAAGAAACAAGGTCTGCTTTGTAAATTTACATACTCTTCCATTTTGTCTTTTTTGCAACTTTTATGTGTTCTTTGGTTAAAAAAAAAAAGGATATATCTTTATATATCTCAGGCATTTATGTATATAAAAATCATCCATTAATTTTTCTTTTATATATATATATATTTTTAATTTTTTTTCTTATTTTAATGTAATTGGGCTGCAATCCCCGCTCTTGTGCTCCACGGCGGGGCGGGAGCGTCGTAGCCGGCACGATGGGCACGAGCCCAGCGCCGGGGGCAGCGCGGGGCGACGCTGCCGCCCGCCCGAGCTCGCCAACGCGTTGCTGCACGGTAATCGCTTCGCTCAGATATATAGTAGTAATTTAGAAAGGTGTAGTGAAACAGTGTGATTTACAGAACCCTCGGGCAGCGCCGTTACCTTGCGCTTTGCTGCGTTTTGCTGCACGGGGAGCCCCAGGTTTTGCTAGAGCCCCAGGTTGCTGCTCCTGCATTTCCGTGTCTCTGGGAGCAGCGGCTGCAGGGACCAAACCCGGCTCCCGATTCAGCTGCCTGATCAACCTCTCTGTCCAGGCCCAGCACAGCCCTGCTGGATCCCAGCTCCCCCGAGTTCTCGGCGGTGGTTTCTGTCGGAGATTGGCTCCAAGCCATTAAGATGGAGCGGTACAAGGATAACTTCACAGCTGCTGGCTATACCACCCTCGAGGCCGTGGTGCACATGAACCAGGAGTAAGTACGCGGCGATGTAACAGAAAACGGGTAAATCTGGATTTAATCGGCCTCTTTTGCTTTGTGCTGCATATCGCTGCGCTCATTAAAGCGGTGGAATGCCTTTCATTTGGACGGAGCAGAGCTCTAACTGCCTCTGCGCTGCCTTCGCTCTGCAGTTAAACATCCCCGTGCATGTGCCCTGCTCTCGCCGTGTTGCTTGCGGTGCCTGCAGCCCCTTCCCTGCGGCCGGCGCTGGGCGCGCTCAGCCCCGCTCTGCTCTTGTTTCCGCAGGGACCTGGCCAGGATCGGCGTCACCGCCGGCGCCCACCAGAACAAGCTGCTCGGCAGCGTCCAGGCCATGCGCACGCAGATGCAACAGATGCACGGCAGGATGGTCCCCGTCTGAGCCAGTACTGACTCAACTCAGAACTCTTGAAATTAGTTTACCTCATCCATGCACTTTAATTGAAGAACTGCACTTTTTTTACTTCGTCGTCTCCTCGCCCGTCGAAATAAAGATCTGCAGCATTGCTTGGTGTACAGAGTGCGGAACGTGAGCGTGTGTGTCGGGAGGGGCCTCCAGAAATGACAAACTGTCATTTTAAACCAGACCTGGAACAAATTGTTTCTTGGAACATACTCCTCTGTTGATCAACGATATGTAAAATACATGTATCTATATAAATATAAAGTCACATTTGAGTTTTGATGCTATGTTTGCTGCCAGATACTGTGCTTAAGAAACAGAAACGAATTAACTTTCCTTCCCCCTGTGACCCGTAGGATTACAACCATAGTGTTTTATTTGTGGGCAAAACCACAGTTGTGCATCTTTCACTGGAATGAAGAATCTGCCCGAGGATATTTTTTTGCAGACTTGATGCATCACTAATACCTTGCAGAAACCTCAGTGAGAATATCACGTGGCTGATCAGTGCCTGTCCGTTAGTGAGCTCCCCCTTCACGGGCTGGACCCACCTCGTGGATTACTGGGCAAAACTGGACTCGTGGGGAGATCACGGGCTGCTCTTGGGCTACCGAATCCTCCCGCGTAGAGACGCTTTGTGCACGCGTTGCCGGCAGCCAGCTGGGACCGTCGCGCTGCGGAGCCTTCGGACTGCTTTTCTCTTCCAAGGAGCAGTTCCCTTTGCCACATGGAGAAGGTCAGTGGATCAGGGGACCTTTATTTCAGGGTGCAAGATCGCACCCACAGGGCCAGTAGCCTTCCGAAGTGCCCATCCTCACGAATGTGCCAAGCAGGGGAAGCAGGGAGATGTCCTGCCCTCAGGTGGGCACTTGTGCTGTCAGGAGACAAGTCCCAGTCGTGGCGACTCAATTTATATTGAGGCTTTTCTAACACTTCTTGATCAGTAAAAAGGGACCCCAGGAATGTGTAAATTGGATTCCAAGGTCATTGAGAGGATGAAATTTATGTGAAGTCATTTAGAGAGAGGATCAGGTTCGTATATGCTGCGATGGGAAATGAGAGGACTTTCGTGGTGCCTGAATAGACATTGCACTGCTGCTGGGCCGGGCAAAATGTCAGGAAGATGAGATTTATATTTTGATGACGCTAGGATTGCTGATTGCTTCTTTGGTCCATAATCTTTTGGTTCCACTCTGCACCTGACAGCAACTTCAGAAATGATTTAGGTGCTTTATATTCACATCTCTTTTACATTTGTTTTAGATGCCAAACAGCCATATGGTATCCACAGTGCTGCTCCCATCAGTTTGGGTCGCTTTTATCAGTGACTTGATTTCTTAACCAGCAGCTCTCCCTCACTCTGACTTTTACAGACAGCAACTTGTTCAGGATATGGGGTGCTAAATTTGGACCCCGTCGAGCTGTTCTGCAGTATTACTCATAAAAGTTTTTCCATTTGGAAGAATTTAAGATTTCTTTTAAAAAACTGCTTAAACCAGCACGTTTTAAACCATCATTTTTTCCAGGCAACATAAGAACGGGCTGCTCATTTTAGAGACCTGACAGTTGTACTTTCAGCAGCAAAAACTCTTTTGCTCTTTAAGTGCAGAAATATTTTAAGATTCCCATTACTGTAAATCTGTTACATAAAGTTGAGTTTGTCTTCTTTTCCATAAAACCAAAATGCACCCAATTTCCTGGACAATTTGAAGAATTGTTTTGTTGGCATCTAGTAACAGTTGCTCAAAGTACTTCAATTTTCCATCCAGAATGAATGCAAAATGTTGTCCATATAAAATGAGAGCTGTGGAGGCAGCTGAGGTGCCCGATGCTCGGAGCTGCTGCTCGTGGTTATTGGCTGCTAGGGATGAACCGTGGCTGGTGGGAGGACACGCACTTGGGAGTGAATTGAGCTGGAGGAACGCAGGTTAAAAAATAATCCATGGCACCTTGATGCTATGTATCGCTTACAGCGTGGCACTGAAACCAGGTTTAAACTGCGGCTGCTGCTTGGCTGTTGCATGGAGTTGCCACTTGGGCTTTTTCCTTAGGGAATCCCATGTTGGGAAATGGCTGCCTGGAACTGGAAAGCTCCAGCTCTGGTTGGTGGCCCGTCAGTGACACAGGGCAGTGCCCTGGCCTCATCCCCTCTGGCAGCTGGGCACCTTGCAGCCCTCCCCGCCGCCTCCACTGTCCTCGGAAATCCTCCCGTCCTGCTCTGGGAGATGTTGGATCCCGGGAACTTGCTCCCATCTCCTCTCTTCGCAGGGCAGAGGGAGTTCAGGACTTCTCCTGTGAGGGGATTTGGCCTTTGTACCAGCAGGGAGGGCTGACGAAGCCAGGACTGGGAGAGCAGTGCTCATGCTGGGCGGTCCAGGGTAGGTGTGCACGTCTGCTGTTCTAATATATTGGTGTTTGCTTCTGTGCAGGGAAATCAGAGTTTGCTTCCAAGGCTCCCAGCCCGACATATTGACCACATGGACCATGGAGGACCGGAAAACCGGACAGGAAGCCTTCTGGATCCCCAGTTACGTCTTCCCTAGCACTGATTCTGGGAAAAACACACTGAACAGTCATTGGTCCCTGAAGAGTGTGTGACTTTGCTTTCTTTGTGATTCTCCAACCCTCCATTTTTTTCCTCATTGGAGCGTAAGTCAGACTCAGCATCCAGTTGTCACTTGAGGAATGTACTGGGTCAAAGCCCTGCAGACTTCCTGATTTTTTTTTTCATCCCTTCTGCTTTCTCTTTCTACCCTTGGTTTTATTTATATATATTGTTATTTCCTGTCCTCATCCCCGTCTGTCACGGCTGCATCTCGGAGGAGAGCAGGTGACAGGGCACTACCCACGTTTACCATGGACGCCAGGCCAGGTGCCACCGCAAGGAAACCAGTTCCTGTGAGCTGCCCGGGTGCGTTGCCGAAGTGACATTTTACACAATAGGTGCCATTGCAGTGATATAAATGTATTTTTTCCCTTGAATGGATTGTTATGTCCTCCAAACGGTGCGTACGTGTGGGGGGTGTGAGCGAGTCACCTGCGGGCCCCTCTGCGCAGGCAGCAGCAACACACGCGGTCAGAAAAGGGCTCCATTTCTGTATCTGCAAGTGTGTTTTTCAGCTGCCACACTAACCCTAGTGAGTAGTTCTGCAGCCTAAAACGGGCACTTTCACGTTAATTTTGGAGTGGTGCATTCCAGGATCCATAAGGGTGATACAGATTTTCTTAAGTACCATTTGTTCTTACCTTACACCCTGTCCATGATCAAAACCAACCAGTTTCCAATGACAAGGTGATGGAGGCAACACTTGCATATCCATCCTTTGATGACCCCGAACTGAATTCTTAAGTAGCCTTTTTTATCTGCAAAAGTAGGATTTTAAAGACTTGTTGAATGCGAACAAATATATGCAATTCTTCCATTCACAGAAGCACCCTGCAAGCTGTGTGCAAGCTGTGAAAACGTTCTATCTGGTAACTTAACAACAAAACAGATTCCTTTGCTCCCAGCACAGCTGAAGAACAAAACCACCACAAGGCTTGTAAGGTCACAGCAGTTAGCAGAGGCCCGTGCAGCAGGACAGAGCTGTGTGCGCAGCACGGCCAGCGCCGAAACGGGGTCCCAGGGCTGCTCCTGTCCCCTCCAACTCCCGTCCCCTCTCAGCTCATCCAGGGAGGAAGCGGCGGCGCCGGGGCTGCGCGGAGCCTCCCTTTGCCACGAAGCTCCCGGCGCCGCGGGCTGGGGCCTGTCCGGGTCTCCTGCCGTGCTAACTTGGTGATGGATCTATGTATTAAAAATATATATGTATAAAATACAAAAAGGCTGGTAAGTAACCAGTGAACAGGACTTAAAAAGCAGTATTTTTCTTTTACGTGACATTTTCATAACCAGAAAAAAAAATCTGAAATACTAATCAGACAAATAAAAAGAGAGTGCATTTATTTTTTTGTATCACTGCAAGTATGTTGGTATATGCAAGGACTGTGGTTAAAATTAGAATGTATGAGGCATATTATAATTTAGTTCATACTGAAAAAATCTAACAGCATTTCTTGGTTCGTGCATTTGAATGATCTCTGGGTTAGATATATAGATTTTCTATTTTGTTTTAATTTGTAATTTTTTCCCCTCCATGAATTTTAGGTACACATAACTTATGTCATTTATTTATGGTCTTTTATACCTAGTTTGTAAAATTGTAAAATAGCAAACAATGCAAACATTTGCATTTGAAAATAATAAAGTAGTTGCTGTACAAACCTGAAATGGGCTAATACTATATTATTGCATCTTTTTGTTATTTAAATGTGTATCTGCGACAGATACGAGTACAGATCTGCGAGCAATAACGCTGGTCTCTGCCCCAGAGGGATTATATCCCTGCAGCAGCTTTCCGGGAGCACTCTCCCCAGGTGCTGCTTAGCTGAGCGGCTCCAGGGTGTTTTCAGGGCAGCTGCCGTCTCCGGTGCCGCACGCTCTGCCCAGCGGCCCAGTGGTTTTTCCTGAGGGAATACACAGTTTCCAGTCTAAGAATTAACTGCAGGATCTTGCTACCCGTTTCCCTTGGACTCCGGGGATACTCTGGGAATGTTCTCCCTCCGCATCCCCTGCCTGTCCCTGGGAACGCTTGGTGCCTGGCGGGAAGCCGGGAGTTTTGCAGTTCACTTTGGGCCAAGGTTTCTCTTTTCCCTTTCAGTTTCCAAATCTTAAAAAAAAAAACATCCCATCAAAACTTTCACCAGAAGGGCTCCATGTTTCCCAAGTATATGGATTTCAGTGAAAGATCTTGTTGCAGAGAAGACTACGACCACCCCTAGCCCGTTGGTGCTCACTCCATCTTCTTCACTGCCTGGAGGCATCGGATTCTCGTTACACACAGGGCACATGTAGCAGGGACTGAGCATGGAGCGGTGTCAGGAACGGGCACAGCCTATCTAGAGATATTGGGGCTGTTTTCATGTCAAGAAAAACAAATGGATTGTGACAACTGCCAAAAAAAAAAGGGCACGCTATGCACTAAATCAACAACATGATTAAAGCTGGAGCTGCATTTTGGACCCCGACCTCCGTTATTTTACCCTTTCTCTTTTAAGGAAGTGCCCTTGGGCCATGGGCTGATTCTCTGCTGAATGGGTTGCAGACCTCTGACATATCTTATTTCTGGCTGTGGCCCTGAACATAATTCTTTGTTTACAGGAGCCTCCTAGAAAGCTGAATGAATGTGTAGAAGTTTTCTTCAAAAAAATGAAATTAAAAGCTAACGCATTCCTTTCAATCAGCTCAGTAAAATGTATTCTCCATGCATGGATGGA